CTTCTGGTGTGTCAGCCACTCCCCCCAGTTTAGTATCATCAGCAAACTTGCTGAGGGTGCACTCTGTCCCTTCCTCCAGGTCATTGATGAATATATTGAACAAGACTGGGCCCAGGACTGACCCCTGGGGGACACCACTAGCCACAGGCCTCCAACTTGACTCTGCGCCATTCACCACAACCCTCTGAGCTCGGCCATGAACGTGTGTGAACGTTCAAGTTCACACACTTGAACGTGGAGAGCATCAGTTTCTGTTGCGAGCTAAGCAAGGAATTTACTTTCTGACTTCAAATGGTGCAGCTCACTTTGTCCCTAAATTTACTCATTTACAAAGCAGGATAACGTTATGTCTTAATTAAAAGACACATTTCCAGACTTGCTGCCTGAGTCTTTGTAACACACTTGGAAACTTTGCATAGAAGTGGTCATATCATGCAAAAACAATATTGTGCACTTCTGGATCTAACGGGGAAAGTAGCTTTTTTGTGTTATGCACTGTCAAACATCAATCACCGTGTACCAAGGTGCTTCTGAAGAGGAGCACCTTGGAAGTGTCTTCCGGAAGCTGCTACGATTGCTGTAGCTCAGTCGATATAGGCAGTCTCTTGCAAAGTAAACCAGATCCAGTCTCTCAACTTTGAAATCACTTTGCATCTGCCAAACAGCTTTACAGTCATTTCCCCTTCTTGATCTCTATTGGTCATTCTCTCTGTAATGGAAAATTACAGAATAATCTTTTGTGCAGTACAATTAAGGCCGGTTCTCAGTGGGAGATTTCTGTGTTAGGCAGGTGCAGATAGTCTTCTGAAGCATGATTCTTACTGCTGAGGTTGGGCATCCAAACCACCCGTGAACTGTGGGCTCTGCAGACTTAAATAAAGTGGGCAGTAGAAAGAGATCTTGTTGCCAGGAAGGCCATTTTAGAATAAGAAAAAAACAGTTGTCTACACACATGTATGCTTGCCTTCAGAAATCTTACTTCATTCCCCGCATCAGAAGACCAGCCAAACGTGGATCTTAATTGTCTAACAGGGCTTCATTTGAATTGGAGGTCTAAATTTCCATGGATGTTATTTCCAAAACAGGTCACCTTTCTCCTAATTGTTTCCCCATAAGTGACACCAAGCCTGAAGATAAAAGCTGCCTGAGGAAGCCATTTGCGTAGGACTACAGGGGCTGCATGCTTTTCTCTTCCCACAGTCTTTAAAGGTCCACTCTCCTACTCTAAAATCATATGGAAAATAGATCCTTTTTGGTCCCAGTCTCCACTTCGAGAAGCCCATCACGGTTTTCTAAAAGGCATTCCATTTTCTTTTAGACACAGTGCCTTTTTCACAACGTCAACCAAAAGAGAAAATACTAATCCAAAAAGCTCTTCTGGTGAGGCCAGAGAGGTTGACTGCTTTACTCCTTTCCTGGGGCTTCTGAGGCAGCAGAAGTAGCAGCAGTTAAATTGCTTTCCCAAAGCTATGTTGACATTAATAGTCAATGCTGCTGGATACAAAAATTTGGACTAAAGGCAGGGAAATAGATAAGCTGAAACTATTTCAATTGCTTTCCAAGAGCATTGGTGAAAGTATTTGGGCAATGGAAAAGGATCAAAATAGTGGACTTTTTTCTAAAAAAAGTATAAATACATTTATGTCTGTGTATGTGTGTGCGTGTGTGTACCAAACTTCAGAGAGACCAGTTATTGCAAGTAATAAATAACAGTTACTTTATGTATGAAATTTGATTCTCTTGCCAAGGTTCAGGCACTCTGAATGGATGGCTAACCTTCGAAACAAAACAATATGTAAACATTCAGCTTCAGTGGAAGTAGTGTCAGGATATAGGCCACGGTCAGCCTTTATTTTTCTGGCAGGACCTTTTCATGTTCCTTTTGGTCTTGAAATTTGTGACAAATATGCCATAGTTAATGGCATATAACCAGTTAACTATAGAGAAATCACTTGCTCCATCATTTTTAACTGGAAACTAGATAAGCCAGTGGGAGGCTAAAAGCCTCTACAACAAAGCTGTTTGGCTGATTTATGCTATTTGTAGATCACTACACGCAGGATAATCTGCCCAGTAGTCCAAGGATTTCCCTTACCTGTCTGGATAGCCCCGTCAGGACATAGGCTATCCTGGATAAGCTTTCCTTCTGAAAAAAAAAAAGGAAAGAGAACCTGCCCATTTTATGTGGCAGGTGAAAGTCTGTTAAACTCTTCCTAGGATAGAAAGGGGGAGGGAGATAGGTACAATCCTGTAAGCATTAAGGCTGGATGAGGTGCTTTTGTAAGGAAATCTGAGCCTGTAAGACCTTAAAGGGCATATTTAGATTGCTCAGTACAATTTTTAAAAATAAAAGACAAAAAAGTGCATACTTAGGCTTTAGGTATTTGTGACAACTTGGGAGAAAATGCTCTTATCAGATCTAGTTCACTAATATTTGTCAGAATTAAAGGCCAATTGGATGAATATGCTTCCAGAAGGTATCGAAAAAGGTATGAAAGTCAAACACTAAGGAATTTCTGAATCGTCATGCAAATCTTGTTCCACTAAACTGATAAGAGGTTTTATCGTGTTTTTCCAGGGTAAATCCTGCTGCCATTAAGTTATAGCTGCACTTGTATCTTCTGATGACTTGTTGCACTTGTATCTTTAGATGACTTGTTTTCTTCAGCACAGTTCTTCATTTTTTGGTCATAAAAACAACACATCTATAGTTCCAGATCAATAATCAAATAATCAAACCACTTCTAGATGCAGACAAAGAAGAATGCTTTGCTTTTGGTTGTTGTCTTTTTTTCATAATAAGAAAAAATATTTCCAGAAAATTATCCATTTAGGGAAAAAATATTTTTTACCTAAAGAAGGTTTCTTTAAAATGTTTCAGCCAGTTCCAATTCCTAAATAGACACTGCTTCCTTTGCACTGAATGATTATACCAAAAATAGGAACCAGCTGCATTAAGATTGCTTGTGCTCGTGCCTGTCTCTTGGCTGGACGGGAACCCAAGATACTACAGTGAGACATATTCCATCAGTACTGGCTTGGGGGCAGAAGTGCTGCCACATCAGTGGGAGTTAGGAATTGCGTGGGTTAGTATGACCCAAAACTTGCCTTGACATTTTCAATGCCTTTCCCTATCTTTACAGGTTAAAAATAAAAATTAACGAATTGCCTTTTGTAGTGCCATCAACAGTTTGCAAATACGAATGCAATTCCCTCTCTCCGTTCCTTTCCTTCCCTCCCTCTCCTCACAAGTGCTGTGCTGTGCCTTGCAGGCTGTTTGACACCCGGTACAGCATACAGAGGAACGGGCAGCTCCTGACCATTTTGAGTGTTGAGGACAGTGATGACGGTGTGTATTGCTGCACAGCGGACAATGGGGTTGGAGTGGCCGCACAGAGCTGTGGGGCTCTGCAAGTGAAAATGCGTAAGTGCAAAAACAAAGAAGCTCAGCTGCCTGGCGGACAAAAGTGGCTTTCTCCTCAGAATTGCCTAACTGTTCCTGGTCCACTGGGAAAAAAAAAACAACAGAACAACCACAACTCAGCTTCTATCTTCCTCTATTTTTGCACAACTGTTTGAGCACGTTGGGTTTTATATTTGGTTCGTTTATCTGGTTGGTTGGTTGCATATGCGCTGGGATCACTGCAGATCCATCCAAGCTCATGCTTTACGCATGAGATTTACTTCCGAATGGGCCAAGCCCCTGCTCCCTCACCCTGCAGCGGGCTTTGTTGGCATCTGCTTGCAGCACTGCAGCCTCTGCCCTCCTAACAGGGTGCCCTGCATCAGGGTAGCCTGGCTGCACAGGGGCTGTGTCTGACAGGCAGAGACAGGGGAGATGCCATGCAGTGTCCAGGGCACATGAACCTGCAAGAAGAGGTCAGTATTCAGACGAGAGGCAATATAGCATGCTAGAAAGGTACAGCCTTTTGGCTCCTTCACAATCTTAGTGCTATGGCCTCCCCCAGAGGTGGGAGATGCTGTCCACCACATGGCCCAGACCATGCAGAAGGGAAAACGCTTGCAAGTAGCCAGGGCAGGACACTTCATGGGCTGGTGCAAAACCTTCATAGTAAGGAGTTCAGTGTTATATGCCTGAGAAGAAGCCAGGCAGGTAGGAATCTCTTCCTAACACCAGGTAAGAAATTATTGAGAAGGGCTTTAGCAAACACTGGAGCACCTACGACGGCAGAGGGGGGGTCCATGTCCTCTAGGGCTCGGCTTGCAGCGCTCTCTTCAGGTAAGACTGGATCATGTAAGAGCTCAGAGCCCTTAAGACAGCTATGTGCTGGACAAAGGGTCCAAAGCTTACATGTGCATAGCATCTATGTAAGGACTGCCTTACATATTAGGGCCAATGCTATATTTTGTCATTCATGTAAGAATTTAATCCTTCACAAATTTACTCAGTTGTTTGCTTCAGGCCTGTTATTGTCTAGCTGAAGCTTTGTTTAATTTCTATATTTAGTTCCTTTGCTCTTCTTGAGCCTGGATATCCTTTGGAGTAGAGTTCCATATGTTAATTATGTAGTGGTCATACAAATTCAAAATACTATGCCTACGCTATTCCATCATGGCATATTAGGTGATATCTTAACTAAATATGGTCCGATTTGCCTATGATTATTCATTCTGAATAACAAATACTTGTGCTAGAGTCACAGGGAATGTTTGTCTATCAAAGACAAAAAAAGACCTTTAGAAGAACCTGCCTTGTAGAAAACTCTGTAAGCATCGCAGTTTGATAGATTAGCCCTTCACAGCAATACTACGAAAATCCCATGTGGACTTGCTGTTTAAACATAATATTTCCTTAATCAGATTTATGCCTGAGCACGGTGAAACAAAGCATATGCTATTCAGCTTTTCTTAATAGCCGCCTTGAAAGGTCTGGAACATCATGACATAAATCTAGTCATCACACTTTAAAAATAGGGGCCTGGTTCTCACAAAGGGTTATATATGTGGCTAGCTTAGTGAAGCCGAGTTCATGTGACTACAGTTATTTACATGAGCACTTAAAAGATGTGTCTAGATGTATACCTATTACAGCATCTGTGTGTAGGAAGGGTTTTGTTTGTGCTAATGAGCATGATCGCCCAGGTTTGCTAATTCTGGGACTCTTCCGTCACCCTCAGGTGCTGGCCAGGACGTGAAAGCTCTTTGAAAGCCACTCCCCTGCTAAGGAGACAAAACTTCCGCTCTCTCAGAATACTGATATGAAGATCAATTTTACTCCCAACTTTGAGTAAACTAGGCAACATTTCCCTCCAGATAAAATGAATTTAAATTTATCCCAAATTAATTTCAAGTGAGTTTAATTGTTTTTTCTTTAAGGGCCTTTCTCCTTTTTCCTGGCCTTGGTCATAAATCCTTCTCTTAATGACATCCATTGAGTTTACATGTCCTTCTTGCTGAGCTAGAGACAAGCCTGAGTTAAAACAGTTTCAAAATCAGTTCACTCCAGAACCTGAGCTTTTACACAAGACACTGTTTATGCGATGAAGAATGCCAAAACTGGGAATGCAAACGTTCTTAAATATTGGAAATACTCTTTTCTGGATCTGGATTTTAGCCCAAGTCCTAATTCAAATTATTGTCAGACCCTACTCTTGAAAACAAATAACCTATGCAACTTAGTTATTTTTGTGTCTGTAAACTAAAACTCTGAAAGCTGCACTTGAGAAAGTTTTTTCTTTCCAAGGCAACTCATGGCCTATCAAGACTGCTCTAACTTTCAGCTACAGAAATGTACCAAAAAAATAGCAAGAGATTTTGTTGACAAAGAACATTTCAGAACTTGTTCTAATATTTCTTACCTCCAGTTCCAGTTTAATTTTTGCCTTTTTAAACTTTAGGACCCAAAATAACCCGACCTCCTATAAATGTGGAAATAATAGAAGGGTTAAAGGCTGTTCTTCCATGCACTACAATGGGGAATCCAAAACCTTCTGTTTCATGGATCAAAGGAGAAACAGTTGTGAAGGTGAGTAGAAAATGATATTAAAGTATTGCTAGCTTATTTGCTAAAGGTGTTGTGATAAAATACAAGCATCATTCATGCTATTTGTAAATTCTCCTTTCTAGAAAGAAAGCATTTCAGGAAATCTAGGGCTTATCTAATAAATGTCAGCATTCACAATAATTCTACCTATATATCAAACACTTCTGTGTTCCTATACCTCATTTATTTATTACTACTAGATGTGGCAAAATGCTGCAAAATGCATTTGTGAGCATTCTCCTAAATAAGTTATTCTGAGCTGCTCTGATAAGATTCATGACCCTTTTGAAGATATAATTCGCTGATTTGCAAAAATAGGGGTGAGTTGTGACATTGTTGAAACAATGCTGACAAGAAAGAGGTGGCCCCAAGTTCTTCAATCACAGGACAACACAGATTATTTTTATGCATGTAAGCCCAATCTTTTTACATAGAAATTTGGTACTGCTTATGTGTGGTCTGTAGAGTATTTTTTTTTTCTTTCCTGTCTGTTACCTCCATCTCCACCATTCTTTGGCAGGAAAATGTTCGTATTGCTATTCTTGATTCAGGGAATTTAAGGATCCACAATGTTCAGCGTGAAGATGCTGGGCAGTATCGATGCGTAGCCAAGAACAGCCTGGGCACAGCCTATTCAAAACCCGTAACAGTTGCAGTGGAAGGTGAGTAACCCTTGCACCTGCCTCTGGCTCTGCGTACCTATCTCACAAGCAGATACTTCCTGGTTAACTTAAAGTAACCTGAAGCATCATTTTGATGTTAACAAAAATATCTTAGATGTGACCCACAAGCCAGGGGAAGAGAAGGGAAAGTAGAGCGGAGTGAGAAACAAAAGCTTGTTCACGTTCGTTCCCATTGCCGGTTGATGGTGAAAGGGACTATTTGCAGATGGGCATATGCCACAGCGCCTTTGGCTCTAGTAAGAAATTTGTCTGAGTAGGAGCTCCCAAATAGGTACTTAGTCCATTGGCTTTTTCTTCTGATTGATGGTTTCCAGGAGGCCAGCTTGTTTCTTGTGCAGAAAGTCCCGCCAGACCCCTGGGTTATAGTGTATGGCTTGTGGAGATGAACAAGGAAAAAGCTGGTGTCTCTGGAAACTTTTCAGAGAGAGGTGCACTGCAAGGAGCCTGATCAGACAGCTGCAGCTCCAAATGGTGCCGCATTTTGCAGTGTGTGTGCGTCCCTCCCCCTTCCTTCTGATTTTTCATCTGAATTAATTGATTCTTCAGCTAAACAGAGCTGTTCTCCTTGAGGACTTGCACATTTTCTGCCTGCTAAACTGAACACTGAATTGATTTTTGTCTCTGATCTTTACTTGCTCAGTATCCTTCTTTTATTTACACAAGGTATTTGCTCTCTGGTATAAATCATCACCAGTTTCAGAGAGCAGAGACTAGTGGACTGCCTACTTAAGCGTAGGCATTAAAGCACTCAGTGTTCCTGGATCCTATAAGAGAAGTTGGGTTAAGTGAGGTTTTGCAGAGCAGGAGAAGGAATGATCCTATTGCTTATTCAGAATAGAATCATCTGTGCTATAGAAAGTGGAAAAGGATCTCCATTTGCCGCGTAAGCTTCAGAAGATTAGTGCAGGTTACATTTGGTCTGAGAATATCAGAGGTTATTTAGGGTACAATCCCATTTCTGAGAGGACCGTTGACTTTCTTCTTGGGAGCAGGATCAGGTGTATTAGATCCAACAGCAAATTACTGTAGGTTTGTTGTTTGCCTAAAAAAATGCCTTCATTTTTCAGTTTTTTTAAATATTTACATGTACAGACTTCAAGTATGTTAGACATTTCTTAAATAGCTTTAAAACAGGAAGGTGGCTATTGCTAATCTAGATTCAGAGCTATACTTCTCTTGAGCTCAAAGTGAGGAGCCAAACTGAGGATATTTGGATCTGGCTCTGAACAGTCTAGGTCCTGGGTTTTGGTTTGGCCTCATTGTTGAGACAGAGGCCAAAGGCTGATCAAGAATTAGCTGAGGCAAATTCTCAATGCCATGCATACAAATTCCCCATCACTGCAAAGGGGCCTCAGGCACAGGGATTTTATTGTTCTGGATCTATCAAAGACGGAGAATCTGAAAGTGGGTTGGAACGGCACCAAAATCAGGGCTGCTTAGATTAATATCTTGTTTTGTCCCTATGTCCAGAATTATGCAGTGACTGTTAATTCAAGGCACGGCAAATTAATCCACAAATACCCTACTCGCAAAGGAAAGCCTGTGTGTGCTCTTTTTAAAACAAGAAGGATTAGCTCTTAATTAATCAATGGGAGCTCAGTGCTCACACACAAACTCTCCCTTCATGTTCCATTCATGTGTGGTGTGAACAAAGCAATGCTGTTCTCAGGCTCGCCTTGGTTTTTCTGGTAGGGCACCCATATAGTATACCTCATTTCAGGCTGCCACCCAAACTAGACTCATGCATGTTTGTTTTACCTTTCGGCTTCCAAAATCCAAAGGTAATAATCCTGACTACAGCTTGCTGTGCGTACAGACCACTTCTCCTCCCAGGGTTTTAAATTAACTCTCATGAGCATTTAACATACACCCACGTGCGCATACCTGTTCATGCATGCATGCACACATGCACTCCCCTCACATACCTCTTGGATAGCCTGGCTCACCCAGGTTATCATTATTTTTAGTATTCCCCTCCTGTCCCTTTAGTACCATTATTTTAAAATACCTCTAAGTAAATAAAAATCTAAAATGACTTGATGCAAGAAAATGGCACTTCAGTCAGCCATGCCTCAGCGTTCACTGGAGTCCTGCGTTCAGAAAACTAATGAAAATATGCTATTTGTTACTCCTCTGTAATGACACTGCAGTTTTTTTCCTCAAATCTTGGTGCTACCACTCACTGGAGTTCCTGCCCTGCACAGTGTGGCTTAATATTAAAATAAAATGACTGAGCATGGCTGGTTGACTATGAATACTTAATTTCAAAGCAAATGTCTGTTCAAAGCGCAGTGCAAATATTTATGCCTAGCTAAATCTAGATCAGGCGAGTCCTGATTTCTGAAAGGGGTTTCTAATTTTCTATCATAAGCATCCATTTTAATGGGTTCTGCATTAGTGCTGCAGTTAGTTTCAGACATCATTCACAGTATGGAGGTAGCCAGCTGCTTGAAAGATTGACCCTCTGACGCTGAATGTAGCAAGACTCTTTAATGTGGAAAGGTCAGGCATATGTTTATATGACTTGCTGAAGCTGAGCCCAGAAACAACAGCAAGTCTCTGACACATAAAATTATCTGTGCTGGATCCACTAACTCAAACAACTGATGATATCTTGGCCTGAGCATTTACATCGCCGAGATGGCTGACAGTCTTCATTCTGATCTGGTTTTAATAGTTCAGGACAAAACAGATGGAAACATACTATTTGTTTTTTCTCTCCAAATATCTTTTCCTCTGTTCCTCATTGACTTTCCTTAACATTTCAAATACTGAGCTCCACTCATTTATTTGCAGCAAAATCAGAATAATTTGAGCAACGATTTTAAATGAAGATTCTGCTGCAGTTCTTATCAAGAAACAGAAAGTAATGGAGTGCTTTCTTAGCAGGAACTAATTTTTCAGTTCTTTCAGATTTTCATCAGTGAATTAGAAAGAGATAAGGATCCAGAGGAGTCAGCATCCTCTGGGTCTTGCCTCATACCGTGCACTCTGCGTAAAACCATCCCCAGCCAGAGCAGCCTGCTTCTCTCTCAGGGTAAATTACAAGCCCCAAAGCCCAGATGATGAACGAATGGACTTTAATCAAGTCATGAACTTTAATATCCAGAACTGGGTCAGAATATTAACTGAAAGGGTCAAAAAAGCATGTTCTCTTGGACTGTGATTTTGGCCCTTTGCTCCAAATTCAGGGCAAATCCATACAAAATTTGACAAGTGATGGTGAAATGGATTCTCTCCCTAAAAGTTCTAATTCATTAGGGATAGAAACATGGCTGCAGCAGACCTGACTGCTGGGTCCATAGACAAAGGCAGGATTTTCTTTGGGAACTGTGCTGAGCCCATGAACACTACTGTCCACATCAAAAACCTCATCAGTGGCCTGGGCACTATTAAAAGGAGGAGGGAGGTATTTTGGCATCCGGCAGTGCTGAGCACAGCAGAAGGTGCCCGGATCGACCTGCGGAGTGTATGGTGGGGGCTGGAGGGGAATACAAGCAGCAAGCCTGTGCCAAGAGTGCCTTGTAAGTGACCATGTTAGGTGAGTGGCTGTCGTGCCAAAGGAAGGTTGCACACTAATTTTACTGTCTTAAAGTGTCCCATAGCAATAAAATGATGCTGTGAGCAGAGTGGCTTGCAGCAGCACCTCTGGTTTAGCTCCCAGGAGATATCTTGGCACAGTGGGGCCTGCTCTTGTTGACGTACTGGGAATGGTATGAAGTGGTCCTTCAACAGAGCTCCAATTTCCAGGCTAAGCACTTTGTGCTGTCAGGCTGGCTTCATCTCTGGGCTCCACAGATGGTACAGGAGCTGTGTGGCTGTATAAGGTCAGCTTTTCCCCCTTTGTCCTGTTTGTCAAATTAGTTACAGACCATGCAACTTATGGGGGAAAGGACTAGTAAAAGTACTAGCCTGAGGCAGGAGTAGGACAGGCAGAAGCAAGCCTTCTGCAGGCAGCTCTGCCCATGTACTCTCTTCTGATCTCTGCCGACCCCCTGTTAAGCCCCCCAACCTTTTGATTTTTCAGGAGCTTGGTGAGCTTTCTCCATTCATCTCTATGTGGGTGGGTGCTCTATTAGCTATGCAAGGATTGATAATATAGGCTGTCCTGCTACCATGTTCAGCACAATCTAAGGACCACAACCAAGAAATACAGTATTTCAATAGCTCTTCTAATTTAATCAGCACTTTAATAGGGAGATTAAAGAGCCATGATCAATTAATTTTACTGTTTAAGCTGAACAAATGAGCAATGATCAGTTTGCTGGTTCTGCTAAACTTAGTATGTTAGAACAATTTCCTGTTACTCACGTACATCCAGTAATGTCCATCGCACGTAACACGTGCATTGGGATAAAGGAACATATAGTTATCTTGGCTATTTGCCTTGAAGCATCTTCTTAATTTCCTGGAGACAACATTCCTGACCAGCAGTGCAGTATTCTTTTTCTTTCTTAAGCCTTTTGCTAACTAGCAGTTTAATTGCTACATTATCAGTTTTGATAATGAATACATCTGCTAACCCTAGGAGAGAAGAGCATTTATGTACTCAGTGGGGCAGTATCTTGCCAAATGGTTAGTCAATATTTGTACACATTTCCTGTTGATAGCTGTACTGATGCACAAAATGAGTCTGGGACTGAAAGGCTCCTAGACGAATCCAAGATTCAGGACTGCAGCAGAATATAAGTATATGCTTGCTTACCTGATTTGTACATCATGAAACTGTCTGAACGATGAAGTTCATTGATGTTGGCTAAGATGTTGCATCCAGTTTTACTTGAGTCTTTAGTCTTTTGCAAATTAATAGGAGAGTAGCAGTGGTCTTCAGTAATAACCAGAGTTGCCCTCAGGTACAGATATCCTCTCTGATATCAGTGAAAATTGAAGGCAGGGTATGTACCTCAGGGTGCGCCAAGAATGCAGTCCTTGGCACTTGTCTAAGCATTTGAAATCTGTAGGGTTTGCATGATAGAAAG